CCCAAGACTCCCCAGTCCTAATCCAAAGTAAACACACGACTGAATCCTTTTATGTTGGATAAAAACACAGAGACCCCCTTGTCTGACGAACCCTTTGGTTGGCAATACACAGTGGGCCCTTTTTCCTGCTGCATTTGAATTTTATGCCTCTTGAAAAGCAAAGTGTCCTGTCCCCTTCCTCGGGAGCTGGTGGATTCATGCAGGGAACGTAGAAAGTGGCATATGCCCTTCTGGGAAGGGACCCGTCTCCTGTCTCTGTTGCTTTAAAATGACTCTAAGCTCCAGGTGATCACCTAAATACATAAATAAACACCTTTCCTCTGCTCGGAAGGAAGCCTCCTCCATCACAGCAGAACCTCCTCCTCACTTTTGATTTTGAAATAACTTGTAATGCTGTTAAGAGGGAGAAGGAGCAGTCCTTTCTCAACTGTGCAGCCTCTCATTATTATAGACTACAACTCCCATAACTCTTGACCGTTGGCCTCATTCGCTGCAGCTGACAGGTGTTTTAGTCCTCAGGGTTGGGAAAGGCACTTGGTTGCCTACCTCAGAACTGAAAGCAGGCTGCCAGGTGGAAGGAACTCAGTCCAAGGAAGAGAAAGCAGGCCCCCCCTTTAATTGTAACAGTACCTTTCACAGTTCTGCAGATGCGGGAATTTCATCAGGTGTAGATGACAAAGCAAACAATGTGTTATGAAATCTCATTGTATATAAAAAAAATAAAAGTACAGGAATCCTGTCCTCTTCCTCATGTTTCCACACTCGCTGGGAACCTGATCCGTGCAAAAATTTTATCTCAGCTTCCTTTAACAGAAAGGTTTGTTAATTCATATACAGTATTTGCAAGGAGGCCTATGATTCTCAAAACACAAGCGGTTCTGGAGATGAAAAATAGGTGGGCTGCACGGGGCAGAATTCAACCAGACATACTCCTGCCAAAGTTCCAATTTCTTTCGCACCGAGGTCAGCAAAGATGCCCCCTTCTCAGTGCGGCTGGATCGCAACCCCCAGGAGTCCACACCAGCTGCTCGGGGGGCTCAGGCGGATGGGAACAGTGATCAAACCACCCCGGGGAGTTTGCCTGCCCCAGAGAGAAGCCAATGAAGTGGGTCGGGTTCTCTTTCACGTGGGGTGTGCAGGTGTGTGTGTGTGTCCAAGCAGCTGACAAATGAGATTTGGCCATAGCATGACCTGCTGACAGATCTGCTCTGCGCCCATCAGCAGGGTGCCCGCGGAGCACCTGACGCCGGCGGCTTGGTTTTGTCTGCTTCCGCTTGGCCCAAGGAAATAGCAAAGTAGAGCAGGGAGAGACCCTTTCAGCACCCGTAGACGACTACCCCCTGACTGCAACAGCAGCCAAGCCCTGCATACCTGGACAGTTGGAGGAGCCCCTCTGGGCCAGATCATGCTAGGAAGGAGCCCCCGGTACATTTTTTAAAAAATAAGTTATTCCTTGCAAACGAATGGACAGATGGACGGATGGACAGACAGAAGAAAGAAAGAGAGAAAGAGAGAAAGAGAGAAAGAGAGAAAGAAAGAAAGAAAGAAAGAAAGAAAGAAAGAAAGAAAGAAAGAAAGAAAGAAAGAAAGAAAGAAAAGGTGCTGTTTGGCTAGCCAGAGGACCAGCCTAGAGCAATGGGCATTTTGGCCAGAGCAGCTCCTCACACATTGCGAGGGAGAAGTAGCACCTGCTAAAATTCTCCCTCAGACACATCATGCCAGCTCTCCCCCATCTACCCTCCTTTGCATTTAGTCAGCTTAAATGGAGGCTGATTTGCAAAGCCCAGGAGGCAGCGTGATCCCATCGAAAGCGGGTTAGCCCTGCTACGTAAAACTCTTATTAGCCAGCCTGGGTTTATTGATTTATTTTCCCTAATCGCCCCTGGTCCGTCTTAAGGAAACCATTCCCTCCTCCTTTCCTGCTGGCTGGGGCCAAGCCGTGCTGAGGAGGATCACTCTGGCTATCAAGCCTAGCGGAGAACCCTTGTCAGTGACTCAGGCGTGGAAAGGGGAGGATAATGAGGGAAGCATCTTCGGTTTGCATCAATAAATAATGGGACCATCAGTGTGTGGAACAGAAGGGGAAAGTGCAGAAGGGAGCCGGGTGGCCAACGGTCTGGGAAAATGCATCTGGCCTGCTTTTGTACATTTGGTCTGGAGAACTCAGTAAGTGGCTTTTGGGCCAGCTCTGCTATTGCTGTCTAAAAGGAATAACTGCAGCAGTCGGGCAAAAAGATGTAAAGTAACTTTGTTTCTACTTATTTTTCTTTTGATTCCACTGATTGGAGGGGTTGTTATTCCACGCCGACAAGTCATTTCCTACTCAACGGTCACCCTGCAAATTCATGACCGTACATGAATACCTTCCCTGTAGAGAGAGAGAGAGAGAGAGGGCTGTCCTTTCATTCCAAACATCACTTCCAGTTCTCCCGAGGGTTCCAAGAACCACAGAACCCAAACTGCAGAACAGGTTGGCTCTAGAAAAGATATTGACATTTTGGATGCGAACTTGCCAAGGGCAGTGAAGGGAGGGGGAGCAGCCTCTATTAGAAGAGGCGACTGTTCTGTGCCGTCAAGTTGCCTCTGACTCACGGCGACCCTATGAATAAACAATCTTCGATGCGTCCTCTCTTCAACGGCCTGGCACAGGTCTTGAAAAGTCCAGCCCGTGGCTTCCTTGTGGGAGCCAGTCCATCTTGTGTTGGCCTTCCTCTTGTCCTGCTGCTTCTCACCTTTCCCAGCACGATGGGTCTTCTCCAGAGAATCCTCTTGCCTTCTCGTGATGAGCCCAAAGGAGGACAACTTCAGCTTCAACATGTTTTGCCTCCAGAGACAGTCGGGAGAAGCAGATGTTCCTGTCCCTCTATTAGAAAGCGCTTTTTTCTATTTTTATTTCATGCTTGGAGTAGGAGGTCCCAATACAAAGGGCACTGAACAGAAAATACGCCTTGCTCAGCAAGGCTGGTCAGAAGGTGAGAGGAGGCCAAGCTTATCTTCCATGGCTTTCAGAATTCGCTTTCACAACAAATCACCCGAGAGGCTGGTGTTGACTGGAGGTTTCTCTGATTCTTTCTGAAGCATAAAAATAGGACTCCCTTTGAAAAGCGTGGTGGCTCTTTCCTGGGAAGTCTCTCCACCCCGCACGGAGCTGTTTTTGTCATTCCAGAGAAAATAACACAGATGTAACTTGTTGCAAAACACAGTGGAAATGCCCAGCCCTCACTGTGTCTGAAATAGGGGCACCCTTCCAAATCTTTATCCCTAACCTTTGCCCTCTCCCCAAAAGGTAGCTAAATAGGTAGGACGTCCAGGTGTGTGTGCCCGGGGGGGGGGGAATGGTCAATTTAATTCAGTCTGTGGTGGAGGGTAAACTATTGGGGTGGGGAAGAGAGCCTTTTAAAAAAGTCTCTGCCACAGAATTTGTACCAGACTCTGAGGACAGTCCTGGAATCTGAAGCAATAAAGAAACACCCTCTGTGCATGTGCAGAGTTCATAGTGACAGAGAGCCAAGGAAAGAATGCAACGTGGTACCCTTCCCCCCCTTTTTTTTTTACAGTGGAGAATATCCTTGTTATTTTGTCCAAACATCTACATTCCCCTAAACAGGCCAGCCCAAGACCCTGAGGCCAGGTGAGGACCTGCTATCCGCCCCCCCCGCCCAGACGCTCTGGGGCTCACGGGGACGGGTGGGTGGGGGTTGCCCTGCCACCAGTTTTAAGGCCGCCCCCTTTAGGACTATTTTGCCCAAACATCTGGGGGATCTGCCTC